AAAAAAAAAAAAAAAAAAAAAAAAAAAAAAAAAAAAAAAAAAAAAAAAAAATAGAAGGTCAACATTTCAAAGTATAATAATTTGTGAGAAATGTTATAAAATGAAGAAATCTTCATTTAGTGATATGCTTGAAGAAAATAAGTCGATATTTAGTATCAGGAAGACATTAATAGCGAACCTCTTGATCTACTATTTGCATCCCACCATCCAAAATGAAAAAGCAAGTAGACAGTGGACTTACAGAGGCATTCAGAACTCAGAAGTAATATCTCACTATGGGAAACAACAGAAATAAGAATAAATTCCACATTTTGATTCAAATCTTTATACACCTAAGTCGCAGAATAGAGAAGAAGAACACATTTCCAACTTAGTTGGTCATCGACGGTTGCATGAATTCCAGTGAGTTGCCAGAATTTTCACGTGTTTAACTTCTTGCGGTCAATTCAGATCCTCTATACCTCCACTCCTCTCAAATACCCTCTCATTCGGTTTAGAAACCTTCTACAAGCATTTCCCCTTTGCTAATTTTGGCTTCAAGCTTCAAACTCGAAAGCATTGGTTGTGGAGAATCCGTAAGCCTATACAGGCCTAGGGTTTACAAAAACGGGGTATTTTCCTAGTGAGTCTGTGTGAATGTGCGTGAGCTTGTGTAGAGAAGTACTATGCATCCAAATCTACCTGGGAATTAAATTTGAATTGAAGGCTACAGACATGATTTTAGATTCCATAAAACACGAAAACGTAGTCATGTGTTTGCATTTGCCAACTCTAGTAGTGGGATCACTTATTGAGTATTTTTAAATATTCATCTTATTATTATTAAACATTTTTCCAAATAAAGACAAGAGTCCTGTGTACGAATGATGGCGTTGCTGAGGTCATAAAATAAAGCTGTAGACAAACTTTTCCACATTCTAATTATATTTTCATTGTTAGGATAGCTCAGTTTTTAGGGGATGTTTTATCTTTATTTCCATTTTGATTTTGTTATGTTTGCAACTTTATGAATATTTAAGTCCATGACAAATTTTAATATGAAATGTGTTTAAATAGTTTTACGCACAGACCGATAGTGACATGCATATAGAGTCATTACATCAATTTTTTTTTTGGAATAGAGTATCCACTAACTCTAAGATTAAAGAGACCTCGTTGGAAAGTTTGAATCGACTTAATTTTTTTTTTTTTTTAATTTTCCTTACTAAAACTTTTTGGGTTTCTCCATCCCCCTCTAAGACAGGGAATTGTTGGAGGCCTCTACCTTTCTTTTACTTTTGAATTCTTGAAGGGTGAAGTGCATTCTTGGACCCCGCCCTAGGGCTTCTCTTCCTATCTTTCTATTGTTCCCTTGCTTTCCCCTGTGATCCCTTTGTTTGTCTTGCTCTGGAAGGCTTAGATTCCAAAGAAGAATAAGTTCTTTGCCTAGCAAGTCAGTCTTTCATAAGAAAGTCAATACTTTAGGTTGTATGCAGGGCACTACTCCTTTTCTGTGCTTCTGTGCAGAGGAGCGTCCAAGGGCCTTAACCATATTCTGTGGAGGTGCCACTAAGCTTAGTCTATTTGGTACAGATTCCGAGGTGATTTCAAAGTCTCTCTAGCATGAAGTAGAGATTCAGGGCCATGATCGAGGGAGAAGGCCAAAATCCTATGGCATGCTAATATTTTTCTATTATTTGGGAAATTTGTGTAGAGAGGAATTCTAGAATGTTTAGAGACAGTGAGAGATTCTAGAGTTGGCAAATGCAACTATGTCTACAATGAAAAGATTAGCAATCTACCAGTCAGCTGACGACGCTCGGACCTAATAACTGGAATGTCAATGTCCGAACGAGGAAACCCCTGCAAAAGATACCAAAAAATAGAGTACAAATTAAGTTTAAAACAAACTAAATGTAATCAAGTTACTGCAGCAATCAATCAAGCTTCTTCTGGACTCAGCTTTACCGAAACTACTATCAATTCCACAGAAAAACAAGCATTGTTTGAATTTTTACAATCCAAACAAATTCCAACCCCGTTCATGGTCTTACCAAAGCTTTTCAAGATCAATATCCAATAAATTTTCCATCGAGCATGAACAAGTCTTCGAAACAACTTTCCAAGTACAACTCAGCAAAGGAATTAAAAACAAACTCTAATTGTGCTCGTTAGTTTTTAGCTACTCCACAGAACCTCAAAAGAAAGCGTTGTAATCGAGCATGACAACACTAGCCGAACCGAAAATTTCCACTACGGAGTTTTCGAAACAAAACCTAATCAACTAGAGGAACTGCAATAAATTTGATTCGTTCATGGAAGTCGAGGGAAAAGAAGGCATTGCAATCACCTCAGAGTCGACGAGATTTCCAGAGAGTCCAGGACCTCCAGGCTGACAAAGGCGCGAAATGATGGCATCCATCTGGGCCTCGATAGCGCTCCTCTTCTGCATCAGATCCATAGTCTCCGACTTCAAATTGGAAGCCACCATTTTTCCCGATCCAAAGCTTTCAAAATGGAATTGAAACAAATGGCAACATCAAAAGTTTCTTCTCGATTTAACTATTGAGAAATCGAATCCATTCATAGCCCAAAATAATTTCTCAGAAAATAAAAAAAGGCCCAAAAGAAATTCCAAAAAATAAAAGCCCAAAAAGAAAATGAGAATCCAAAGCCCAATCTCCAATAAAATATATATATATATAGAATTTAAAGTTTAAGGGTATTTTTGAAAGATTGTACTAACTCAGTCCAAAACATTTAAAGGTATCATTTGTTTAAATACCCTTGAAATTCTAAAAAAAAAAAAAAAAAAAAAATTAAATACCCTTTGTTTAAAAAATACCCAGAAGTTTTAAAGGTATCATTAATCCTTTAACTTTTATAAGAAGATTATCTCCCAGTTTAATGTTATTCGATAAAGTTCATTAATATTTTTGAAATATTATACTAATCCGTAAAATTAATTTTGAAGTTCTTATAAAAAGTTTATAGCCTTGAATGACGAAAAAAAGTCACATTGGTTAATTTAGGGAATGATCATGTGATGTCCCACATTGGTTGGGGAAGAGAACAAACCACCATTTATAAGGGTGTGGAAACCTTCCCCTAGCAGACGCGTTTTAAAACCTTGAGGGGAAGCCCGAAAGGGAAAGCCCAAAAAAGACAATATTTGATAGCAGTGAATTTGGGTCATTACAAATCATAGGAAAAGCCCAAAAGGACAATATCTGATAGCGGTGGATCTGGGTCGTTACAGATCCTTTCAATACTTTCTCCATGAGTATGAGGCATTTTGGAGAAGCCCAAAGCAAAGCCATGAGAGCTTATATTCAAAGTGGACAATATCATAGCTATGCTCTAAACTTAGTCGTGCCAATAGATTGGTAAAACCTCAAAAGACTCCAAAAGCCAAAAGAAGCCAAAAGAAAAGGTAGCCAAAAGAAGCCAAAAGAAAAGGTAGATTGGTAAAACCTCAAAAGACTCCAAAAGCCAAAAGAAGCCAAAAGAAAAGGAGGAGGCAAGATCAAAAGACTCCAAAAGCCAAAAGAAGCCAAAAGAAAAGGAGGAGGCAAGAAAAGGTCTAAACTTAGTCGTGCAAGAAGCCAAAAGAAAAGGTAGATTGGTAAAACCTCAAAAGACTCCAAAAGCCAAAAGAAGCCAAAAGAAAAGGAGGAGGCAAGATCAAAAGACTCCAAAAGCCAAAAGAAGCCAAAAGAAAAGGAGGAGGCAAGAAAAGGTCTAAACTTAGTCGTGCAAGAAGCCAAAAGAAAAGGTAGATTGGTAAAACCTCAAAAGACTCCAAAAGCCAAAAGAAGCCAAAAGAAAAGGAGGAGGCAAGATCAAAAGACTCCAAAAGCCAAAAGAAGCCAAAAGAAAAGGAGGAGGCAAGAAAAGGTCTAAACTTAGTCGTGCAAGAAGCCAAAAGAAAAGGTAGATTGGTAAAACCTCAAAAGACTCCAAAAGCCAAAAGAAGCCAAAAGAAAAGGAGGAGGCAAGAAAAGGTCTAAACTTAGTCGTGCCAATAGATTGGTAAAACCTCAAATGTCGAACAAAAGACTCCAAAAGCCAAAAGAAGCCAAAAGAAAAGGAGGAGGCAAGAAAAGGAGTCAAGCCTCCTCAAAAGACATAGTAAAAAATGACTAAGACTCCAAAAAAAAAGAGTCGAACCTCGATTAAGGGGAGGCATACTTTGTTCGAGAGGAGGTGTTGGAACTCAAACAAAATCCATGAGAGCTTATGTTCAAAGTAGACAATATCGGGGAGGCATACTTTGTTCGAGAGGAGGTGTTGGAACTCAAACAAAATCCATGAGAGCTTATGTTCAAAGTAGACAATATCATACCATTGTCGAGAGTTGTGTTCGTCTAACATAATAAATTTGAGCAAAGATGACTTGAGAAATCTTTCACATTCGATCACGTGGGGAAATTATGAACAAGTTAGATGACATTTTCGCTTCTATCAACCTCTAGAAAACTAAGAGGACCATTTTTTTTTTCAATAATGTGATGAAAAAAAATGCATGCGAGAAAGGATGGTTTTAATTTTTTTAAAAATATAATTTTATGCAACATTTAATTTAAAATTAAATAGTTTTTTAAAGATTATTATATTATTCTTTTTATTTAAAATTAGGTGAATTAATGCAAATTATGAAATTAAAAATTAAAGTGTAATTGCTTTAATTCGCTTAAAAATATTCGTTAAAAACATAATATTTATCATCAAAATGGTATATTTTAAAATATTTTATAATTTCGTAGGCAAAAATAAAGTAAATAAATAATACTTAATTATTAATCGGAATATAACTCAACCGTTAAAATGATATATTTTAAATTAAAAAGATAAAAAATTCCAATTTTCACATTTTATAGTTTGAATTTTAATTATATTATAAAAAAGGAAAAAAAAAAGGTGGTCCTCTCTACTTTCCAAAAGAAAAAGGTGGTCCCTTTTTTTTAAAATAAATATAAAAATTAAAAATTAAAAATAAAATAAAATAAATTTTTTAATAAATATAAAAATTAAAATTAAAATTTAAAAATAAAATAAATTGAGAGTAACAGTCTATACTAACAATGTGCACTTTGATTTAAGCTGGTTCAATCATAAAAATTTTAAAATTAAGCGTGTTTTGCTTGAAACAATTATATGTTTTTTTGTATTCAATCGAAACTGTAACAAAACATGTTTGTCATTAAAAAATAAAAATAATTCCATAAATACGATATCTGCTATCAGTTCAAAACTCGATAATAATTTGATTTTCATGCAATTGTTGAACTCGAAACAAAGATAATGACTAGATTTGTAATATCACAATTATAATAATTCTTAACAATAATTAGATAAACTAAACCTTAAAAAGAATCTCCCGCCCCTAAATGAACACGACCGAAAGAGATTAATTAATAATTATTTAAACGTCCCATGTCCCAAATTTAAAATTCGATTCCGATATTTATTAGACTCGAACGGGTTTTTTCAACCTACTTTTTAAAAGAATTCTTAAAAAGTTGCTCGATAATTAAATAGCTAAAAGATACGCATGATTAATTTTAATTATATATATTACTCTGATGTGATCTTAATAGGAACGTTATAATTACTAAAAAAAAAATTAATTATTTAGAAAAAGAAAGTATCGGTATAAAATAAATCCACAATAATGAAATTGTCTTTTACGTTGCCAACAATAGAACGAAAAGACATAGAAGAGTGGAGAAAAGAAAACGAAGGGCACATTCAAATAAGAATGTGTCACGTTTTTTGAGGTAAACGTTTCGCTAAATTAATAAAATACTCATAATTTTACAGTTTATTTTAAAAATATCCTTAAATTTTTATAAGAGTTCGAAAAATTTAGTTTTGGACAAAAATTATTAATATTTTATTTTAAAATATAACTTTTAATAGTTTCTAACCGCATTTAGGGTTCCTCGAACAATGTCTCTCGAACAATGTCTCACAGTAACTTTAAATAGTTTCGTAAGTACTCTTCAATTTTTTTAAAAATTATTTTTTTTTTACCGTCTATTGACATTTTATAAATTATCTCCAAATTTTTTAATATTACTTACGAAATTTTTTAAGTATTTTTAAAACATGGTACTAAACGGTAAATCCTCTATTAAGAATTTCAACCACGTACTTTCTTGAGTAGCTTCAACCGCTACTCTATACTTTGTTTCTATAGTTGATAATGATACTATTGGCTGTCGTCTATTGCATCGAGAAATTGTTCTCGAACTGAGCTTGAACACAATGGCTGATCTTCGAGTATCGTGGCCTCATGCATAGTCAACATCACAGTATCTAACTAGCTTCCAGTTTTTACTTCTTTAGATATATCTCAGGATCCGTCGAGCCACATCCAAATGAGATTTCTTCGGACTTTACATGTACCGACTCATGACTTTAACTACGTTCTCAGACCCTTTTGATTGGTTCATATAGATCTCCCGATCCAACTTTACATACAAGAACAAAAACATTCTTCACATCCATCTGCACTTGTCACAAGGTAAGTATCAACCCGACCATTACTCGATCGATTAAAACATATCAGTCGAAAAGTTAAATGTTCGAATCTTCAAGAACGAACGTTTTGTTGTTTGAATCGAGAGGATAAGTATAGACGAGTATTATTAGTTTAAATAAATATGAAATTAGGCATACAAAAATCGTGCTCCTTTCATATTTGTCATATCGATGTGACAAAAACAATTCATAATTCTCTCTCTTAAATTATAGCCGTAAGTTGTACGGTGGTCCATGGTTATTATTATTATTATTTACATATAATATTTAATGACGTGGATTTTTTAAAATTAATTTTTAATAATATAGACACGTGTTAGATGATGAGGATAATGTTTAAAAGTTTTGGAGCCATTGGATGCAATTATTGATTTCTATGGACCAATTTAGTAAAGGTTTTTTCAAATTCTAAATTTTAAAATAATTAGTTTTTTTTTAAAATAAAATTCCAGATAAAAAAAATTGCTTCATTTTCTAAAAATAAAAAATTAAATGGTTAATAACTAAATTAGTTTCTTGTTTTTAGCATATTAAAAATATGCTTTTTTATTATAATAATTTTTAAAATGCTTAGTAAAATTAAAAATTAAAATACATTTATTTAAGAAATAAATATTTCTATTTAGATTTTTTTTTAATGTAATATTATTATTCTATCCCGTTTAAAATTATTTTATTTTATTGTTTTCTATTTTTCACTTTAAACTTTATACTCATAAAAAAAAATTAATAAACATTTTATTCGGTATAAAAATATCTCTAAATTTTTAAATTTTTTAATAATACCTTAAACTTTTAAAAAAAAAAAAATCTTAAAAATGCCCTTAAATATTTTTTAAAAAGTTCAAAAATATTTCTTTTACTTGTTTTAATTTTTTTTTAATTACTTCAAAAAAAA